TCTCGATTACCTGCAGCTTATCAGCTGCTGATAACATGCAGATACATCCCTTTCAGGCAGACACTCACCTCTGAGTGTACATGATTTTAAATCCATCATTTTCTGGAATACATAGTGGTAGAACCATTTGCAGCCTGTAAATGTGAGCACTAAGGGAAGGGGGTTGATGGCTCTTTAACAAAGGAGAGGATGTGAAGGAAACAAGAGTTAGAAACAACTAATTACAAACAGAAGATCCTTAAAAATGATATGCTGGGGACTTAGGGCAGTGAAGGAGAGGTGACATTTACAGCTGAGCTGCCCTGAGTGGTTGGCTGCTACATCCCCATCTTCCCTGGCCATTTGTGTTGTTCCATCCCATGACCCCAGCGACTTCCAGCGTTCAGTCCAGCAGGGAATGAACATTGTAGAAAAAAATAAAAAAAGGGGGTTCCTCTGGATCAGCTCTAATAACATGTAATGAAACTTAACCAGGACATGTATTTCCTCCTGATAGAAGCTAATCTTACAAGGCCAGCAGCTATAATTTTATAATTATAAACCTTCTGCCACAATGCTGCTGTGAAATAAAACAGGTAAGATTAAAAAAACTGCATGTGGGTGTCAAAAAAGGTTTAAAAAATGAGAGGAAAGAACAACCCTTGGAGATCAAAAGACAAGGATCCCAGAGGAAGAAAGGAAACTTTTTGCACGTTCACTGCAAAATTTTCTGAGGTGCAAACTTGTGTAACTATATCAGTATAAATCTTCTTGTGCTGTTTCCAGAGAAGATTTTGTGATATTTTTATGTCCTACAATGAATAACCACTGTATGGAACTGGAAGTCCCAACATGTAAATACTTCTATTAGAGTGCATTTACTTATTTACCAAAGTATCATATTTTATGTCTTACAAACATGAATGAAAACAGGCTCCTAAATGTCAGAAAAGTGCGTTTACAATTGAACAGTATCAGGTGAAAGGGAAATTCAGAGAATCCTTGTTCTGGTGTGCTTTTTTTTTTTTTTCTTTTTTTTTTCCTTGGAGACTACAAGAAAAAACAAATCAGGGAATTACAAAATTGAGTTTGTGAGGATGCTGAAGTCATAACACATTGTGTTATAACTTGAAAAGACAGAGGCTGCCCACAGTATTTTTCTCTAAACAATTTTACTATGATTCTGCAGAGAAAACCTGCACTCATTTCATGTGGGACACTAGACTTACTATCTTGTCCTAATGATTTAATAATTACTTTTCAAAATCTCAAACGTGGGCTGTTAGATAGGAGTCTGCCTGTAAGTGCCTGAATAATTCATCTTGTGTTGTACATTACCTACAGACAAAATTTTCTTGTAAGCTAAAAAATCGTTTTTCGTGACAAGAATAATGTGCTAATCTTGTTTCATCTTGTTCTGTCCAGTTGCTCTAATATTGAAGTTGTGTTAAAGTCAATATATTTCTAGTGTGATCTGTCATTCAAGAATTTGTCAGATTCCTCCTGGTCTGGTGGGTGTGATGGTACCTCCTTATTTGTGGTTATGTAGAACAGCATTTAATGGCATTATCTTTATCAGGAATGCTTGTGTTCCTAGGCCTGCCAAGGACTTACAAAACTTGTAGTAGAGGCTCTCTTTATCATTTCTTTACTTTGCTAAGGCTGTTTGTTTTGTTTGTAGCCCTTTTATCTCTTTCAGTGGTACTGCCTGAAGTTATTAATTGGGTTTCCTACCTCAGTGTTCCACTTTTCAGGTCACTGGGATGTGTCATAGAAACAAGCCCATTAGGATGAGTGATGTGTGTTGTCATTTCATCAGCATCATCAATAATATAATGCAGTTTTCTGTTTAGGAGTGTCTTTTTGTTTTGTGGGGGTCAGGCTGACAGTGTGAATTACATTTATAAGATAAAATAGTTAAAGATGAAGGTAGATACTTAAGCAATTAGGCCAGAGGCTGGATTTGTTGTTTTAGAGGTGTAGGCTACAAAACCAATTTGTGTTAAGGAATGTTTAAGTAATTGAATTTCACAGTGTAAATTAAAGTCTCTTGCTATCATTTTCAATGTTGTGGGCACATGGTGGTACCTTGTGTCAATGAAATGGCTGGGGTTTATTTTTCAGTCTGTGTGTAATCTTTAATGAAAACACTTTTCTGACTTGTAAAGGCTTGGAAGTAATAAACTGAACTGACCATTTTTTTCATTTGATGAAGCTTCAACAGAGATAAGAAGTAAACTTGTATAAATTGACTCTCACGAACATGCATAAAGAGAGAAATCATTTTATGCAACAAAGGGGTGGCATGGCTTGCCAAGCAAAGATAAGTAATTGGAAAATACAAGATCCCAGTGAGAACTCCTAGCAGAAAAGTTGAAAAAAACAGGTGCTGTGTTATGTTACTTATTAGTATTTGCATACATAAACATATAAATGAGGTTCTGTTGTACTATGTAATCAGCTATTCTGAAGTCACATTACTGTTTCAGAAGTTAAGATATTATTTTAAAATTATGCTTGTCTCATTCATCAAACAACTGAGTTCTCATCAGACACTAATTTGCCCTGCATTCAGGTGGGGTGAGGCAGTCCTTGTTTTTTCTTGGATCACATGCCTATGTATTTACTGTGGAATCACCAGTGATTCCAAAGTCACAGCATAGATTTAAACTGTGTTAACACCCTTATATGTCAGGGCAAACCATCTTTTTTGGCTTGTGTGCCTTGTGCCATTTGATGATGGGACATGAGGTCTGTTCCTATTCTCCACAAACATTGTCTCAGCAGTGCCCAAATGTTCCAAAGTTCAGACCAGCCTCTCTTTAGAGTAGTTTCTGGCAGTCTGAGTCAGTGTTGCTGTCTTATAATGTTTTTATGAGTTGACCTAAAGGAGCAGAGGGATCCTAACACAGATCAGGGTGCCAGTGTTGTTGGCATTTGGAGCAGAATTCCAGCTCAGTCAAACTCCAGCCACCAGCAAACAGATCTCTCCTGAGGGTAGAAAGAAATGTGATTATCTCTAGCACTTTCCTTGCTGTTGAGGGTGTTAGAGGGGCTGTGAACAGGATTCTTTCTCCCTGTGAACTCCAGGAACTATAGAGGAGAGTTCTTCAAAAGCCTGGTTCTGCTTGCACTGATCTCAGCAGGAATCCCTGAACTAAGGGAGCAAACTCAATCCCTGCTTTGAAAAATGCACAGCATTTCCCATATCAGAGCCCATCCTTAAAATCCAACAAATCAGGAATTTATCTGGCTCTGACACACACAGTTTTCATTTACTGTGCCACAGAGGCTGCTTTGGGACAGTCCACGAGGTAACTCGAGTCACCTCTGGGTATGAGCTGCAGCACAGGCAGGGAGCAGTAGCATCAGCTTCAGCTAAGGGGGCTGTCCTGAGGCTGCTGCAGTCCAAGCTGAGGAGGTTGCTGCCACATCTGCCTGTTTCTGTCCTCTTGATGGGGCTTTCTGTCCCCACTGAGCTGTTCTTGCACATCCTTCTAACCTGTTTCTGTCTAAATGGTCTATGTCAGTGATGACCTATTGTTTAAACTGTCCTGCTGCAGTGTGGGATTCCAACCCCTTCCTCCTCTGTTTAGATCTCCAATGCATTGCTTTGCAGACCCCTTGAGCTGTCTGGATGTATTGCTGTCAGGGGATGTAAAACTCATCATTCCTTCTGCACACTGCTGGGTTTGGATGTATACCCAAAAACATAGACTGAAAAATTGCCTTATGGGGACAGGAGTTATTTAGTATCTTTGGAAAAAATGGCCTCTCATTCAAAACATTTTTTAAAGCTGAAAAACACGGCAAAATACTGTGGGTGTTCCGTGGAGTCATTTATTGGGCTGCCTTGTTACCTTCCCCCCAGGCAGAGTTGCAGTTAGGTGATTCATAGAATGATAAGATGCACTTCTGTGTTCATCTATCTTCTGTAAATAAACTTGGCAGTTTTATTACCAATTTGGAGTTGCCATTTGGCCTGTTCTGTTCTGTGCCATTAGGTGACTAAAAAAGAGTGGGAGTTGTCCTGTTTCTTGCTGGGTTCTCCACACAGCTTCTCCCCTGCCCTGAACATCTGTCCTGTATTTAAGGATAAAGTCCTGTACCAAATCACTGTAGCTTTCCTGTTTCAATTTTTGTTCACTTCTGTTTGCAATCAAAGGAGCTCCTGGGTGGAGGTTTATGATGTTTATGTGCTCTTCTAATTAGTATAATGATTACACCTGGTTTTGGATAACATTTATAGTCTGCTTCAAAGAGTCCCATTAAAATCACTGACTTGCTTTGAATTCCAAGCCTTCCACACCTCATACAAATAACATTTCCAAGGGATCACACAATACTCTTGCATCTGTTTTTCTACAAACCATTAAATTTTTTTGCAGATATTACTGGAAAACACAGATTTTGTTTCACAAGGGTTTAGCTGTGTGTCCTGTTTCTTTCCTCTAGTATGGGACATTAAAGATGGGTTACCCTTGTTCTAAAACCACAAAGGATTATTGATTAAATAAAGTCTCTGCTGAAGGCAAGGAGAGTTTTACCATTGGCATCAAAGCAGCTGGAATTTCACCTCTGAAGAATGAAATAAATAACGTGAGCAGATAGGAAAAACAAAAACAAAAACAAACCTGTGCTGAGGGTTCAGAGCAGTAACCAAACTCTTTTTAGAGGGGAATAAATGGAATTCATCTGAGACACAAAATCCTTCATGAGGGATGTGATAGGTCTAGGCTTATACTTTTGAATAAAAACTTGAATGGTCAGAGAGGAATGTGAGACTTCTTTGATGGATTTAGTAACTGCTCCGATGTAAGTACATGTAGTTCAGTGAATAAATTCAGTTTATAGAGCATAATAAATATGCATTTGTCTCTCAATCTGCCATGGGTCAGCTTTACTGTGCATAATATGTATCATCTGTAAGCTGTGGCTGCTACTTGCAGGGTTTCTTGATGGCATCTGATGGATTGTTTTTGAGTAAAAATCTTACCATTCTCTCCATTGTTCTCTTTCAGAAATATTCTTTACAGACTGGATGACAGGACCAGCCAGTTTTCAGTACTGCTGGAGGCACTGGAGCACTGCAAACGACATCAGTCAAATGAGACTGTTCAAGCAGCCTTGTCAGAGGTGCTGAACAGCATCAATTCAGCTCAGGTTTACTTCAAAGCAGGACTTGATGTGTTTGAGACTGCCTTAGCTGGAAAGAAATGAGTGGATTCTCTGCATTCTAAGACATTTGTTTACAACTCTCTAAACAAAAGTTCAACTTGGACCAGAATTGCTCTGAGGATCAAACCTTTCTCAGCCTTTCCTTCACCTGGCACTTAAAGGTACTGCAACACGTGGTTTAAGAAATGTAAAACAGTATTTTGCACTGTTCACAGTATATCTCAAATGCCCATTCCTGAATGTATAAAACCTAAAGAGAGGGAATAACACTTCAGAGATGATTTTTGGAAGGACATCTGCTGTATTTTTGTATGTAAAATATGTTTTTATGACTAAGAGGTCAATCATGCGAAGTACCAAGCACGCCCTGTGCTGAAGCCGTGGTTCTGAGACACCCCAGAAGTGCACTCGGGGGAGATCTCTGTCAGAAAAACCTGACTCAAGTTTCTTAATGTTTTCAGCAAGCTCATCTTCTTCCTTACTCCATTCAGAGTAAGTAGTTGAAGGATGTGGTGTTTCCATGGGTATCCAGCACCGCAGTGGAAATGCACAGAACACCTTTACTCCTGTGGAACAATAAATACCTCAGTTCTGAGAATACAGATAAACTTTGATTCTTCCATTTCTGTATGAAAATAAAGAGTTGTTTTCTCTGATGTTTCTTGGAGAGGAAATTTTTGTGATGATTTCAAATTATTTGAAAAGTGTGAATCGGTAATTACACTTGCACAAAAATGCTTTGGATGTTTATGTTAAATGAAAGAACTGCCTAGTCTTGATAAGCCTAGAGGCCTTAAAAAATTAACCAAACATTCCCAAAGCATCCCACTTCAAGGTCTCTAAATTTCCAGAGAGCTGTAAATAAAAGCAAGACGTCCACGTCCTGGGAAGAGTTTTGGGATTCCATCACTCTTTGCCACACCACCCGCTATCCCAGCCTGGATTGTTCCATCAGGCCTCACATCTAGGACCTGGATCTTTGTCAGAAAAGCAGAAGGAAAACATACATTCATTCCCTGCTGTAGAACCAGGAATTCAAGTGTGGAGGCACAAGCTGGTGAAGCACACTGCAGAGCTACAATGCAAATCTGTTTTTCCACAGGTTTTTGGCCAAAGTAATCCGTGAGTGAAACAATTAGGAGGTTCAGTGTCCTCTGAGGGGATGCTATAACCATTTGAGGTCTGCAGGTCTTAATAATATAAACAGTTGAAACCTCTTTGGGTTTTATAATCTCAAATGATTCTAGGTTTAGACCTTAAATAATTAATTTTATATAGAACCTTAGAATTTAAATATAATTTATTTGATGGAAATGTTAAATGTATTGATATCCAGTTTGGCATGTAAACATTACAGGAGCATTTCAGGTTGCAATAAAAATGGAAAAAGGTGTATGTATTAATGTTTAAAAATTGCCTTCAGGAAAATTTCTGAGTGCACAATCAAGTGAAAAATTTTTAAAGTTCACATAGCAAGAAATGAGGTGTTTACACATCTGGGTTTCTGTTTCCAAAGTCCTTACAAAGGGGTCTCTCCAAGCAATGGCCTGGGACTGGGTACACACAGCTGTGCTGCTGCTGCATTTCTCCATAAGTTATGGTTGAGCAGTGGGCAGGAGCCCCCCAAGCCTGACCAGGCAGAGCTCCAGCAGTGGGAATTTGTTCAGCACCACTCAGTGGGACTGCATGGACTCAGACACCATTATCTCCTGGCTTTTCTTGGCATCTGATCAGCAAAAGTTGATGATGATTCTTTTGCTAATGCTGGCACCAGTTCTGTTCAGTGCAGAGGGAATTTGACTTCTGGAGGGTAACATTGTTTATGATGCACCCCTTGTCTGGGTAGTGTTTATTTTTGGGAGATTTAAGTGGTTGGAATATCCACACTTGAATTGTATGCTTATTTTGGGGACTTGGGGATGTACTGTGTGTGCTGCACTTGAATTGTATTTGTGACAGGGACCACTCTTCTAACAGCTCACTAAGTGAGACAATTTCTTTACAGCGCTGCCTCACTGTGGAGCCTTTGCTGGTATTCAGTGATAAAGGGCCAGGTGCCATTAGGAGACCAAAAGAGAGACTAACACCTTTGTTAACTCTATCAGGTGAATTTCATAACTCCTTCCTCATCCTTAGAATGTTCCTCCACACCCACCTCTAATGCAACCAAAGTGTACTCAGCAAAGTCAGTGAAATCTGGTGGAAGCAATATCTCTCATGGATTATTTCTCAACCCTGTGGTTCCAAAATAAAATATTTATCTTGTTTTCTCACTAATGTCCTTTTGTAACCACTTCTGAACTAGCAGACTTCAAAGTGCTCCACTAGAAAAGCGCTGCTATTGTAAATGTCTGTCTATTGTAGACACAATCAGATGTTCTTGTTGGTGAGATGAATCAGATGAGCTATTTAGGGACTTAAATTCATTGATTTCAATGTCATCTTACACTTGTAGATCTTTTGTAGACTTTTATTTCAGTGTTCAGGTCTTACATGTAAGTGAGTGCTCAGTGATAATATTTGTACCATTATAGCTTTGAAAAAAAGCACTTTTGAGCCATATCCTTCCATTGATTTTTAAATCCTACCTATTGACTTCAAGGGATTTATAGCAAGTTAAGGTACTAAGTATCCAGCGAGCTTCTAACATTGAGTTTTTGCCCAACCAGCAGTGGAACATCAGCTAGAGGAAGGTGTTAGTAAATTATAGCAGCTTACCCAGATTGACTTAATTCCTGTGTTGTACTGGAATAAACAGAGCACCCTTAAAGGCAGAAGTACATTTGCAAATTGCCTGAATGATACTAAAAATGTGTTAGCTTTTCAGAAGCATCAATTGCCAGAGAAAGTATAACAAATGCATTGATTGCTCCTTAGTCTAGAGTCATGCTCACAGTGACCAGAAAATCCCTGCAGCCTGCAATATTTGTATGTTGAGACAGTTGATAATAAAAAGCCAATAAGGTTTTATTAGTATGTATTTTAAAGAGTCCATAAAAAAGCTAAAGCACAATCAAGGCAGATGAATAAAAAGTACATGGGAGCTGGATTTTGAGTGCTAACCTTAAAAAAGGCAGTGAATTGTTTTTATCATCCAGGAAAAATAGTACCTGTGCGAATATGCAAACACACAAATGCCTTATATCTTCAGAAGGTTGTGCAAATATTCATTTGAATATTGATGCATATGATACATCTAGATAAACATAGATGTAAATAATTATGTGAGAAAATTACCAAATGCTTTGCACTGCCGCACTTCTCTTTTAGGAAAGTATTTCAGTCTAGAGATGTGAAAGGAGGCACTGCAGCTGACCTCAGTTCTTGCAACAGTAGGTGGAGAAAGGTTAAATCTCTGGTATTACAGAAGGAACCACTGGAGGTCATTTATTCCAACCTCCCTGCTCAAGGAAGGTCACCTAAAACCAGCCTCTCAGCAGGGCTGTGCTCAGATTGCTGTTGAACACCTTCCAGGGATGGAGATTCCTCAACCTCTCTGGGCAATCTGTGCTACTGCATGGTCACCCTCACAGAGAAAGTGTTTCATTCTTCTATAGAAACAGTTCCTCCAAATTTCTCCCTGTGTTTCTGAGTTGTTAAATTATTTTCATTGTGAACATTCAAAAGGTAGCCATCATTTCATTCAGCAAGAACTCTCAAACACCATCTCTAGGATTTCACAGGTATAATATGGTGGAAAGATTGTATGAGGAGATTTGTCCTTCAAGCCATAAGGTGTTTTTTTTTTTAAGTCATAGAAATTAATATCCTTTTCTTTTGAGGTCTTTTGTACAGTCCCTGGTCCCCAGTCATGGGATTTCTGTATACTTTAGGAGATTGACACCTCATCAGCACTATGCCGCTCATTTGTGACTATAAATGCATCTACTTTACCCAAACTTTGGGATCTCACTGTGGCTTGTTTTGAGTGGAAAGGAAGGCAGGATAATTGCATGGCTCATTCTGGCTTTCAAAGCTGTTAAATCTATAGAAAAGTCTGGTGTGTGTTCTCCAAGGAGCAGTTCAGATTTCAGGCCCTGTGACAATCAGGCACCTCTGTGTGGCTGTCCCAGCAAAGCAGCTCAGTGTGGGAGATGTTCTTTCTATTTGCCTCTCAGTAACTTCAGCAGTGTCACACCAGTCCCAGGAGAGTGAGTGACAGGAAAAAAAATCTCATTTCAACATACCTGGGACCTGAGTTTGGAAAACAGCCTTGTACTATTAGTGTTCAAAACAAAGTAAGGTGTGTTTTGGAGCTCTGAATCTACAAAAAATTGAGATAGGGTTTCCAGTAGCGCAAGTTAATGTCTCAAATATAGAACAAAAACATATTTGTTGTCTATTACATATTGTAATAATGTTAAAAATTTCTTGGATACCAATGCAGTGATAGTTTTGGGTGGCTTTAACCATCTGCCTGTTTTTTCTCCCACTGACACCATCTTCTCCAATCCCCTGCATTCACCTTCTCACATCTTTTTAGAGTATGATGATTTTACCCATCCCTCACCACCTTTTTCTCAGCCATTCCCATTAGTTTTCTGTCTCCATTCTGCTTCCTTATCACTTCTTAAGCTCCCCTTTAATTTGCCAACCACCAGGTTAATCCCCCTCTTTTCTCTCTCTGATCTCAGTCATGCCTTTTGTTCCCCATTCAGTTCTCAACTCACCTCCCTCAAGTTTCAATTATTATTCCTAGAACAGAAGACCATAATAAAGAGCTAAAAGTGACATAAAAGTCCTGCTCAGATCCAGATGGATAAAATGTAAGGAGACATAATCTGTTAAATTCAAAGTATTCACTTCTGAGTACATGTAAGCAGCAGGTTTTCAGTTATAGCTTGACTGAATGGAAACAGATTTTTTTCCCATCTTCTGCCTCTAATGTCTGGACCAGGAAATTCCCTCAAAAGTAGCAGTGTAGGAAGGTGATAATCTTGAAAGTTTTGAAATAAACTTTTGAAGTTTATTTTAATCCAATTCAGAAGTTGGATGAATAAGAAATTATAGACAATGAATCAGAATTGGTATTACCTGTCTACCAAATAAAACAGGCAATATCTAAGCACAGAATTTCTCTGACCTTGCAGGGGCCATCCAGCATTCTTTACCTGTTGGTTACTTACCAAACGTGTGTAATTCTGCTGTCCTACAGTGTTTTACATTATTAAGGATGACAAGGACTAAAGCCACATGCACAAACCTATACTTGAACACGCACCTTTGAGACTAGGAAGTGCCTAAGAATAATGAATACTCATTTGGGAAGCAAAGGCTTTAAAAATATCTAAATTAGGCTGCATGTTTACTAAAACTGTGGTGCTGTTAAGCCTTTGTTTTTTCCCAATTCTAATCCCACTGCTGCTGGTTATTTCTTCTGTTGCTCATACACAGTTGTCATATTGGAGAAAATGTACTCCTGCATGGATTTGCAAAAAATATTATGTTGCCCCTCATTCTTACTGACCTTACTGGACTGTTTTTTTCAACAGGGTTGACTTTACCACAATTACTTACCAGGGTACTAATCCACAGAAGCAAGGTCGGCAGAATTTAGTCATTATTCTTGGAATTTCTGAAAAGATTTGGTGTCAGAAGATCAATTATTTCTGTTTAGTCTTTTTTTTTTTATCTCTCAACATAGTTTATTGCAAGCAATAGTGTATTTTTTTTAAACTGGGAGGAGTCTCTTGGTTTAACGTTAAGGAAGCCCACAGGGCAGAATATTAATGTGTATGTACAAGTGATATAATCAAGAATTAACTTTATACCTATTATGAATGTTGGATTAATGCAGACATACTTTTATAAATTTCACAGGCTGGAATTAATACAAGGGCTTAATTTAAGAAATTTAATTAGAATAAAGGTGTAGAACAACAGGTTTGCTGTGTTAATGTAGTGTATGCTTCCTTATCTGCCTAATCCATTTGGTTAAAAAAATAGGGTTTTATCTAAGCTGCTTCTCTTTGATTTATTTTCCAGCAAGCTTTTGAAAATGAAGTCTTGGTCTTTATTTTTCTTTTAAATGTGTGCTGCCTTTAATGTTTATGGAACACTTCTCAAGTGTTCAGACAGTGTAACACCACCTGGTCTGATCAGTCCTGGATTATTTGATGGGATTGAGTGGAATTTCAAAGCATGGTCTTTGGAAGAAGGTCCTTTCCTGGCTGTTACTATATATAATATCACATACTGGAGTGGCTGCCTTTGCCATGCAGTGCTGTAGCTGTGCAATGTGATGCTTTGAGGCACTAATTGAAGAGAATTTTTATTTTTTCAGTCGTTTTGCAGAGACTTGTTAATTTTCTCCCATTTGAGGCTGTTCTCCCCTGACCCAGTGCTCTTGGCACAGGTACGTGGCATGTTGAGGGTTTGTCTGAGCTCTCAGTGCATTTCCAGTTTTTAATTAATGCCCCTTGTAGCCCCACTTTGCTTTTGTGTAGCTCAGTCCTGAAACCAGTGTGAGGGAGCCCAAGGAGAGGTGGATGGGTCTGACTGTTTGGTGAACTTGCTACGAAAACTGCTGATGCCCCTATCCTTAAAAAAGTAAATAAAATACTTGGCAAGGGCTTTCCAAACATTTGGTGTTTTCAGCCTGTACACTGAGGATTCTGAAATAATTTTGGATACTTGTTTTTTTTTATGTGCAGTCTCATTTCATGTTCTCAGCAGCTGAAACATCTTGTAGTGTATGAATCCACTAGAGGGGAAATAAGAAGATCTTTAATATTTTATACTTAGAGCAAATAAGACGAACACAAATTCCCTGTGTTTTCCATTTGCAGTTTACATGAGTTAATATGCAGCATACTCTTATCACACATGCTGTGATTTGGTATTCTGAGACAAATAGAAAATGAATGTGATTCCCTATCCAGAGGAACTATATTCAATTCAGGGAACGTTTCTCATCCAAGCATCTTAACTGCTTGCATATAGTGTGAGCAAGCACAAGTTAAGATACTTGAAACAGATGCTTTTGGGGGTTTTAGCAAGGTGTGGAAAATAATATTCTTCTGCATAAGGGCAGATTTTAGCATTGCTTTCATTCCCAGGTGTGTGGTGTGTGTCCTCATTGCTGTCCTGTGAGATTAATGCTCAGGGGCTGTTTTCAGTGTCCCTGCTGGTCTCAACACAAACTGGTATTTTTTAGTCAGTAGCACCTTGAAGAGTTTACCTACTCAGATGGAATATGCAAGTATTTCTGCCTTTTGTATGCAAAAGAACAGCTCTCAAGTTGTGTTACCTTTATCAAGCCTTGACACAGAATTTGAGATGCCTGAGTGACGACTCTGTCATTCCATCTACTACATTTTCACATAGTAAAATCACATTGCCAAAAATGATAGCAGAATACTAAGTAAGTACTTTTTTTTTTGACCATGAAATAATATAAACTCGATGCAGTTATTTCTGGAAACCAATAAATATCATGTTTGTGGAAATGTGCAATGAAAGGTTGATTTTTATAACACTTTATAGAATGTTGAGTGAATAAAACAGCTTATTTGCAAAATTAGTTTACTTTGTATTTTTATAACATAGTGCAATAAAAAGAGAGTGTTGGCCATTAATGTAAGTAGATTCTACATACTTTGATTAAGAAGCACATTTTATTTGTTTGTGCTCTATGATTTTTGAAGTTTGTGAGAGTGTTTGTACAGAAGGCACTGTGGGCTGGAATTCAGTAAGAGGCATTTTGTGAAAGCAAAGTGAGTTAGACAATGTTTTTTTGCATAGTTATACTGTTGCCAGAAATTAAACTGGAATATGAAGATGTTTATAATGTACATTGCACTGAATGGCTTGGAATTATGTTCGTTTTTGCTTTTTTGTTTGCTTTTCTTTCTTATTTATAATTGGTTCTGCCAGTAAGCTGTAGCATATGCCTCTCAAGCTGCTGATGCAGTAATGGAGATCCCAGGGCATTAAAGCATAATGGGAAGAAAGAAAAAGGCAAGGAAGGAAAAAAAATAGCTAGACAGAACCTCAGAAGCTGGGATGGGATAATTTACTGGCAGGTAAACTTTGAATTATCCACATTTTTAGGTGTTGGTATATAGAAAGGCCAGCTATTCAGATAATTGGTCTTTCAGGTGGGAAGAAATTGTCCCTGTATTTTTTTTTTAAGAATATAGATTCTGAAAACTAGTCAGAGACTTTAGGTCAAACTCACAGTATTCAGGGTGAGACTCCTAAAATATATAAGAGAAAGCTGCTGAACAGCCTCAGTGTTATCTGAAGAAAGAAACCAGTCTGTTCTGAAAATCTTGATTATATGTAATATTCAGAGGATATGAAATTGAGATGATCAGGCTTTTTTCCTGTAGTTCAGAGGTCTAGAGATTATAAGGTGGGTTTTAGCTCATGAAAATATGAATTCCATTTTTTATATTATATGAGAACTTGGAGGCTTTTGTGTGCTTAAAATGCACTTGGGGGTGTAATAAAATAGTGCCATTGTAAAAGAATGTTTATTTCCAAATTTTATTTCCAATTTATGTAGCATTAGGATTTTGGCTATTAAACTGCTTTCCTGTTCACCATATTGAAAGGAAAAATAAAAGGAATACTTTGTTAATATGGCTAAGTAGTTAACCTCATTTGATAAATTAACTCCCCACAAAGTGCAGCTCTGACTGGAATATCTCATGTAATGTTAAAGACTAATTTGTGAAAAATATTCCTTTAGATATGTTTCCTTTAAGCCATGTAGACTGTGCCATGAAAATAAAAGCCACCAATTTTAGGTAACTCCCCAGTTTTCAATTCCTGCTGATAGATCTGTGGAAGACAATACTAATGAAAAATGGCATTGAAACCAAATGGTTTTTGCCTGGGTACCAATATCTTCCTCTGTGGCTCTGATTAGGAGATCAGACCATTATCCTCTCTCACCAAGGACCTATCTGGGCAGGAATTTTTTAAAAAAGTATATTTAACACATAAGCATTTCAAGTAGACAAGCTTGGTATAGAATAGATGATTTCCCAAGAGAATGAAGCTATATATATCCAATCTTTCTCACTGATTTCTTTAACCTTGAGATTGCCATGGCATTAAGGAATGTATTTCTCATCCAGCCATAGCACAGAGATCCATGTGGGATTCAGGTGTAAAGGATCATGTAATTATGAGGACATTTGCTTTTTACATGAAGTGCAGGTTTGGTGACCAGGAGAGTGGAGTAATGAATAATTGGATGCTGTCACAGTGAAGTGTTTCTGTGCCTGGCTGTAGAAACAGATCCTGGCCAGGCTCTGGTGGGACCAGCGGTGGGTTGGAAGTGCCAGAAGTGGCTGGACTCTGGGAGGGGCAGTGTTGGTAGGGCAGCTCTGATGCACCAGAGGGGACAGGATGGAGGACTGCCTCCCTCCCAAACAACTCTGGTGCCTGTTTGCCCAGCTCTGAATCTGCTCTGCAGACTACCATCAGCAGCTCATCCCATCAGTTAAGAGACATGCTGGAAGCCAGATGGATTTTAGGATACTTCGTAGGAGCTGGATCACCATTTCCTTCCAAAAGGTGAGAATGGAATGGATTCTCCCAGTGCTGGATGAGGTAAGCTGGGTGTAAACACCTGAACTTAAAAAGCCTTGCAGCCATTGTTGAAGCAGATGCCCAAGGGCACCAAAGCAAAGATTTCTTTCAGTACAGTGACCTTGAAGAGTCCATTGACATTTTTTCTAACAAAGTTGAGTGTCTGTGTGCTGATGGGCCTGCTCTGGGCTGTGGCTGGGGTGTTGTACACCCAGATCACTCCTTGGAGGCTGTCAGCTCACATCAGGTGAAGGTTGATCACTGCTTGGAGCTCAGCTCAAACAAAGGGAAGCGTTTCTGACCCTGCTTGGCTGCCTCACTTGGAGAGGAATCCAGTCACGTTTCTAGTCTGTGCCTACAACTCATTTTTGGTGTAGCTGGGTGAGGTCAGTGCTGTGCCAGAAAGGAATTACCCCATCGGGTCCAGGGTTAGTTTTTCTGCCCAAAAGAGAACACACATCAGAACTAATGCCATGCCAATTCCTACTTCCTTTGGACATTTGTTGATTTAACAGCAAGCGTTGAAAATTGGACTGCTCCCTGGCACAGTTACCTGCTTTTCCTTTGTATAACAAATCAGTTTCTGACTTTGTCCTGTGTCCCCTAGCTGTGATGGGAGAGGAAGATGATGAGCAGAGTGCCCCATCAGAGCTGTGGATCTTCTGCATGAAGAGGAAAGAATAGGCAGAAATGAGCTATGAAAGCTGAAAATACAGACATATAAAATACCAAACTTAAAACAGCAGAAGTGTTCATGTGGTTATGCAAGTCAGAATGAAAGTTTAAGAACCAGTGTCTGAGTGAAAGAAAGTGGATGAATATTGTGTCAATATTGAAGAGTCAAAATGATTGAGAAAAGCTTTTGATTTGATAGTATAAACCTGTGGAGATTGTTACATAACACACAGGAAGACATTTAGGCTTAAAAACTGGTCTCAGTCCAAGCTGCATGGATATGTACAGGTTGTAATGTGGGAGAAGGTCACTGCCCTGTGACCATTCAGGCACTGAAAAGTTTAAAACCCATCAGAAATGAGCTGTTATAGTCCAGACTGAAATAGGGCATCCAGAGAAACAACGACAAAAAAAAATAAGATTGCCATCTGCATCTACCACAAACACATTGACATTTCTAACACTAATTCTGTGTTTTTTCCTCTGAATAATAAAAGACCTCAGTGCAGGAATTTGTAGGGATGGATTTGTCTCCAGCTGGGGTGACAGGCAGGTGTTTCTCAGCGTGGGACTGTGTATGAAGGATGGTCAAATTATGTGAGTAAGTTTCCACATATGTCATGTGTCACTGCTTTTCCTGAAGTGAAAGATCACTGCTTTAACTGAAATGAAGAAGCAGAACTGTGCTGGGAGACCTTGATGTGCAGGTGTTACTTATACAGTGAGTGTGAAAAATTAGAGAATACCCCCACACATGAAATTCACTTTTTCAAATTCTAGGAGGATGACCCTCTAATGAGCACTGACTGAGTTCACTTTCAGGACTGTGCCATTCATAAAGCACTTGTCATGCTCTCCTAGCACAACATAATCAGGGCCCTGTGAGTGAGCAATAGCCTTGTATTCATAGCAAGGAAATTTATTATCCTGTAGGTAAAATGACAACTTCATTATCATTCACTATTATAAAATAGCAGGGAAAGTAGCAGTTAAAATTAAAAGGCATCTTTTAAAATAATTCTTTTTACTGCAAGAAAATCCAATACATAAATTCATGTCATGAATATTTTTATTAATTTAAGAAGAATTTAACTTGATGTTCCATGGCACACTTCACTGATGCTTCATTCTTAGATTTAGTGGTAACAATTTGCAGTGACTGGTTGCAACATTGTGGGGTTTTTCTTAACCAGCTTTGTGCCTCCTAACTGTGCAATTTCAGATTGGCAGATTTCTGCCTCACTTACATTGCTGGCCATCCAAGGAATTGGTTCTAGGCTGTGCAGTTTGATGCAGCTTTGTAAACTGACTGCAGGTACTTAGTTCTGGTCACAATACAGTGCGAAATATTTGACAGGTGATTAATTTCTCATGTTTTTGCTCTTATTTCCATGAGGCCTTCACCATCCATGTGCAATTACAAGCTCATCAGGATAAGACAAACTCTTTCTTGTCAGAATGATTATATTTACCCAACCTTTCTATCATCTATTAGCATTTCTGAGAAAAAAAAAGCCTTTTCACAATACATTGATAGGTTGCCTGTGCTGATGCCTGTCACTTTAGAATTTAATAATAAATGAAAATAAATAACTGACCATGATGGGTAACTCACTAAGTAGACACAGAACAGGTGACATCCTCAGGTGTGACCCGGTGGTGGTTAGAAGGTCCTTCCCAGTACTGGAAGTGTTGGAATTAATGATGGTAACAGGGAAGGAGAGTTAAATACATCAGGAAAGAGACACCACAAACCATCAGATTTACGGGGCAAGAATGGGAGCAGCAGGGAGATGAGAGGGCTAATGGAACTTTTTGGTTTTTGTTTCCATCATAACATTTTAGCAAGTTTTTTTTAGTTGCTTTTCTGCACCAGTTTTCTTTGCAGAGAGCTATGGCCAGGCCTCAGCCAACACACTCCAGAGACCCCAGTCCAGCCAATGTAAGGAACTATTTCCAAGTTTGTAATTACTTTAATAAAATCTTTTAAGAGGGGTCACTGGCTACTCATACAATGCAATCCTTTTTGGAGAAACACGTGCCAGAGAAGGTGTTTGTCATTCCAATACTGTTAGGAATCAATAATGAGTAATCAATATAATGAAGGCTAAGGCAGAAAGTTGTTCTGAACCCATAAGTAAATTTATGAGGGGAAAACTCACTCTTGTAAATTTTATATGAAGACAAATTGCTGTGTTGTCTGATTGCCCTGGGGGCTCTCAGCTGGTCAGTGTCACAGCAGCCTTATGACCTAAAGAGGTTTTCTGTTCTCCTCTGCTGTAGATAGTGGGACTAAGGCAA